GAAAGAGTGGGAGCAGGAGGGCTTGCTGTAGAAGTTATGGGTGAAAAGAGTGTGTCACTGACCTGCCAACTCCATCCTGTCCCCCAGGGTTCTCTTCAGGTTCTGCAGCGTGAAGCTGTGGGGCAGAGGCTTGGCCATGGACCCACTCTCAGAGCTGCAGGACGACCTGACTTTGGATGACACCAGCCAGGCTCTGAACCAGCTGAAGCTAGCCTCCGTTGATGAGAAGAACTGGCCCTCAGACGAAATGCCCGACTTTCCCAAGTCAGGTGGGTACAGCTGGATCTCAGCAGCCATAAGCGCCTTAGAAGGGGAGACCCCCTTCCTGTGGAAGGAAGACCCCAGGAGGACAGGATGCGGGCAAACAGACCAGCCCCAGGGTGGGGCTGGGAGCACAAGCCTTACTGGGGGGAGGGCCAAAGAGCACGAATCTCAGGGAGAAAATTGTGCCAGACCCCCAGATGATCCCCTGACTTTGCTGTGTTCCTCAGATGACTCCAAAAGCAGCTCCCCAGAACCTGTCACACACCTGAAGTGGGATGACCCTTACTATGACATTGCCCGGCACCAGATTGTGGAGGTGGCAGGTGAGCACACCCAGCCTTGCACCTTTTCCCTCACAGTCTGCATCCCTGGCTTAAGGAAGCCAGGCCCTCCTGCCTTAGGGGAAGGGGCTGCAGGGGAGGGGCCGGTCTGACCCCTGACCCTGGGGCTATTGAGGCTCCATGTGTCATTCATTAAAAATACAGACTTGATTGTGATGGCCACTTGGTCTGTTCACCTGCAACCACATCCTGACCTGTGACCTCATCATCTCCACTGGCAGATGGCATGTGGGAGGCACTGTGAAAGCCCTGGGTTTGATTTCCAGCTCTGCAGTCTGAGCTCATTTCTTCCTCACAGGGTTGCTGAGAGGATGCCAATGGTGAACGTATATCAGGACCTAGCCCACAGCCAGAACGTAGTTGGCCCTCAATAAGTGTTCATTCATCTCCCTTCCCTTTGCCCTCAGGTCAGCTTTTCTTCCCCATCAGTTATTGGGTAGCAGGGAGGTGCCAATCCCTCCGGGGAAACCCTACCTCCAAGGAAGTCTGGAATGGCAGAGGCTTCTTCCAGAAGTTAGGATCCACATGACTCCTGGAGCATCAGGTTCCCCGCAGATGTGCTACCCTGCTACGAATGAGCGCAGAGCCCCCCTTGGGTCTTGGCCTCAGTGAGCTCCCGCCCTCCTGTTCATAATGCAGGACCCAGAAGCCTCCAAGAGCAAGGGAGGTAGCAGAGATGTTGATGACCTGGTTTCTGCCTATAGGGTCCTAGTGCTAGAAGAAGAAATTGGAATTGTAGGATCCTTTGTCTTTTCTTCAGCTGTAAGCAAGGATGGCAGCATGGCCCTGCCCTGAGGCATTGGGGTGGGCAAGGGGAGCCAGGTAGCTTGTGGCCCCTGGAGCCCTGAGTGGTGCTGGCTGAGGGGGCCCTGGAGGCATCGGGCCATAGGGAAGCAGCAGGGAGCTCTGTCTCTCCTGAATGCTGGGCTCAGGGAGGGATGGGGCAGTTGAAAGGGTTGTTCCTAATGTCAAGGTGTTTTCTTGGCATCTGTGTTCCTGATGCCTGCCCTGGTCTGGATTGGAGGACTTGGCTATGGCCTCTGTCACCCCTACAGAAGCAAGGCTGAGAGTTCTTTTTTGGCCTGGTCCTGCCTTGAGTACAGGAGAGTCACTTGAAGGCTCAGAACTTTCCTCACTCCTAGAGATGGACCTGACTGGGGCATGGGGATGTCTGATGTGAAGGAGTCTCTCTGCTGACATCCTCCTGGCTATGTGGCCAAGTCACAAGGCAGAGCAGGGAAGACTGCCCCCATCCCCACCAGGTGACCCCTGCAAGCAGAGCTGCAATATGTTTCTGTCTCTCCAGGGTGCGATGAGCCTGAGGGGGCCCAGCCAGGTAGGTGTGTTCCTGGCTCTCTGTGCTTGGCCTCTCTGGGCTGTGGATCAAGAAGGGCTCTTGGTGGAGGCCAGGTGGATCCAGCTTAATTGCAGCCCCACTCCAGGGAGCTGGGAGCTGGGAGCTGGCGGTACTTGGGAGCTAGAAATAGCAGGGGATTTATGGGAGGTTTGACAGGGTGGGGACTGTGTGGGGAGCCCACATATCCAGAGCCCAAAGGGAAAGGAGCTCCAGGGGAGGGGGGGCCTTGTCCATGGGGGTCATGGGGCTGGCTGTAAGCAATGGCCGGGCCCTAGTGCTGGCTCAGGGCCCCTCTGGTGGGGTGTCCCCCATGTGTGTGCCTCTCTGACTGCTGAGAAGAGTTTGGATTGGCGCTGCCAGAGCAAGAGTTGTTTGATGAGGCTATGGTGACTTCCTGGGAGGCCAGTTTCCTGGCCTTGGAAACCAGAGAGCCCACGTTGGAAGGGAGGGTGCGTTATGTCCCCAACTCCTCTGTAGCCTCTTCTCCCTTGCTGGCAGTAGCTCTCATGCTCCACGGTCAAACCTGACTGGTCCACGTGGGTTCTTTCCAGTGGTGTGCTGGTAAAGGTTTAATAGTTAGCCCTCCAGAAAGAAAAAAAAGAAAAGGCTATTATTTGTAACGTGCAATTTCTAACTACAAGTAGCAGATTTCTAGCCACCAACGATGATGTCAGCTGGCTTGCACTATTCCTGACAATTTCACATTTTAACTAATGTGCCCCAGCCCCCCACCTCCCATCTCCTTGGTTGGCCTGCTCTCAGGTCGCAGGAGTGTGCTGGTCTGGCGGGTCCCAGAACGCCTGCTGGAGAAGCTGCTCTGTTGCTGATTAATACCCAGGTTCCCCTGGGAAGTTCCTGATCCGTATCTTGGGAATGCAGAGGTTTCATTCTCTGGCGGCTGGTCTTTTCCTGGTGCTTTCCACAAATGCTGTGCCTCCTTTTTGAGCCCTCTCCCTCAGTGCTCTGGAGCCACCAGTGCTGCCAGCTCCTTCTTTCCCTTCAGTTTCCAGGGTAAATCTGTTTGAATCTTCTGAGATGAGGAGGGGACTCCCAGGCCTTTTTACACATGCTTCTTGTAGGAGCCGTTACCCTGCCTGCTGGCAAATGCCCGAGCCACTCAAGGACTTGGGCAGTGGGACTCCACTCCAGGGAGGAGAGGACAGGCTAAGCCCTGGGGTTGCCCATGTCTCGTTCTTTGCTGGTCTGGGAGTCTTGCCATCCAGTCCCTCTCTGAACCCCCTCCTTTGTCCCCCATCCCCATCCTGACTTTACTTGGCATGCATTTATAAAACACCTACTTTGGGAACAAGTCCAGTACTCAGCACTGAGGATTTTTTTTTTTAATATTTATTTATGCCTGCGTCAGGTCTTAGTTGAAGCACGCGGGATCTTTCATTGAGGCGTGTGGGCTTCTCTCTAGTTGTGGCGCATGGGCTCCAGAGCACATGGGCTGTGTAGTTTGTGGCATGCAGGCTCTCTAGCTGAGGTGTGTGAGCTCAGTAGTTGTGGTGCGTGGGCTTAGTTGCCCAGTGGCATGTGGGCTCTTAGTTCCCCGACCAGGGATCGAACCCGCATCCCCTGCATCGGAAGGTGGATTCTTAACCACTGGACCAGCAGGGAAGTCCCCAGCATTGAGGATTCATTGAGGAAAAATGCACATTCTCTCCTTCAAGGAGCATACAGTCCAGGGAAGCGGTTCTTGAAACTGGTCAGGAGTCCTCCTTGAAAATATGAAAGGTGTGGACCTCTTCCCCAGAAAACACGTGCATGTGCTTGTAATATTTTTTATATAACATCATGACATTGGTGGATGCCCATTGATGGAAACCTGGTTGAGAACCCAATTTCCCATTTACAAGTTGCTGGGGCAGCTGAGCGGTGGAACTACAGGCCTCTGGCCTCTCACCTCAGTTGCCTGCTTAACCAGTTACCAGCTCTTTAAATACCAGAGCCTTGTGAGCTCAGACTTTCTGCTCTGCCTAAGCCCTCAAATCTGCCGGCCAATGAGGGCTGCCTTACTGTTGGAGGGAAGTCATGAAGAGAATCTTTTACAATCCTCCATGCTCCTCCCAGCATTTTCCGCTATACCCTGGGCATTTCCTCTGCTTAGAGGGGAGTAGACAGATGATGTCCCCCCGCCCCACAGGCTCATAATAGAAGGCCCAGGGGTTTCTGAAGCTCCAGATTGTCCACGAGGGTGGGCTGAGCAGTCTAACCCTTCATCCCTGCCCACTGCCAGGCTGCTCTTTCTTCTGTCAAAGCCTATGGGAAGTGAATCAGAGCAGGCCGCAGAGCCACCCCCAACCGGCCTGGAGGGAACCCAGCGTCTCAGGATCTGGTCCAGGGTGTGGAGGGGAACAGATGACACCTGGTCTTTCAAAATAGACCGGCTGCTGGACGGAGCTGCACCGTCTCCTCCTCAGACATACCTGTAGAGGGCTCTCTGCTTGTTAAGTCTGGAGAAGTTCTGCCCCAGGCTTTGGGAAACTGTCCAAAGCAGTCTCATATCCCAGATAACATTGTGAGCAAACTCAGAAATAGAACCATGCATACCGTGTAATGCTGACCTGTGACAGGCTACCAGCGTTTATTGAATACCTGCCACATTGCTGGGCTCTGGACCATCTGGACATTTAAAGATGGACAAGACAGTCCCTGTCTTTGAGCTGCTCACAGCCACTAGAGGAGACAGACACATAAATAGTTATACAGGAGAGTCAGTGTTGTGACAGAGACGGGTGATGGTTCATGCTGGGAGCTATGAAAAGGGACAGCTAACCTGCCTGTGGGGAGGAGGAGGGGAAACAGGCTTCTGGGAGATTATGCCTGGGATGAGTCTTAAGGATTCAAAGGAGTTAGCCTAGAGGAGGGGAGCAGAATTGCCTAGAGGAAGTCTGTCTGGCATGAGAGACAGAGGCTAAAGCCACCTGCTGCGGACTGGGCCGAAGGTGTGCATGGTGTGAACCTGCAGAGGGGGTTGGCGGGGCCAAGCCTCAAAGTCCTGTGAGCCTTTCTAAGGGGCTTTTATACAGCTTGGGTTGGGGTTCAGGAAGAAAGGAGTCAAGGCAGGAGAGCCAAGGGCAGGTAGATGTTTCTAATTCTCCAAGGCTAGAAGCTGGGGCAGTTTAGAAAGGAGAACGGAGCCTCTCTCTGGGCTTGGTGGGCCAGGCCTCAGACCCTGACCCAGGAGATTCTTGGAGGGTCCTGGCTAGGACCTTTGGCTAGGGCCAGCAGAGACTAGGCAGTGTACTGGGTGGAGATGGGATCACTGGAGGGGTTGATCCAGAGGCTGGACACAGTGGGAGACTGCTGGGAGTGAGGCAATAGCTCAGGCCAGAGCACCAGGCTGGGCCACCAGCAGGGACTGGGGCCACGCTGCCCACATTCCAGAAGCCTTCCTCAGCCCCTCCAATGAGTCCTGGCCCCTTGAGAAAAGGGTCAGAGCCTTGGCAACCACTTTGGAAAAGCACTGAGTCCTGGGTTAAGTCACTCACTGACCAAGAAGGATCATCAAGATCATGGTTTATTTAACATGGAGAAGACACTCAGCAAGTTGTTGGGGAATCCCTGAATCCTCAGAGGTAGAAGGAGGACAGACTGTGTGGCCTGTGTACGTGGTCTTTTTATTTGCCTCTGAAGCAGTGGGGATTAGGCAAGAATGACTCTGGAGAGGTGTGAGGGTAAAGATAAAGGGAAGGGCCCTGGGACATGGGGGAGTGAGGACCAGGCCTTGTCCCCATCGAGCTGTGCTTAGAGTCCCTGGTTCATACTGACCCTGGAAGAGCATCTCATCTTGAGAGGCTGTGGCATATGTCTCAGGAGCTCCCCAGCTTCATGACAAAGCCAGATGGTCAGACCATGAAATAGTGACTAGTTTTGGACAGACATCCCTCAGTGGTTACACTCAAATGAGCACCTTCCCAAAGTGTTACAAACTCCTCTCTACTCCATGTTTTTTAGAATATCCTTAATGAGAAAGGAATGATTTTTAGAAATGTCCAGAGGTCAGTCAGCTGTGGCAAATAATTCTGGCAGTAAAATCAGAAAGTGTTGTTAGTAGTCAAAAACAAGACATGACTATTAAGTAATCAGACTGATTTCCTCATTGGCCTCAGACTTTCTGAGAAGGTAGCTTCAAGAAGTTTTTCAAATACAGGCTGCTCAGAGCAGATGCTTCTGGAATAGGTGTGGAGTTTTAAGATGATGTATGGCAAGATAACAGTTGATTTGGTGGGTGTGACTTTTTGTTTTCTTAGTTATGGTGAAATTTATATAACATAAAATTAACCATTTTAGGGGCTTCCCTGGTGGCGCAGTGGTTAAGAATCCGCCTGCCAATGCAGGGGACATGGGTTCAAGCCCTGGCCCGGGAAGATCCCACATGCCATGGAGCAACTAAGCCCGTGCGCCACAACTACTGAGCCCACGTGCTGCAACTACTGAAGCCTGCATGCCTAGAGCCCATGCTCCGCAACAAGAGAAGCCACCACAATGAGAAGCCCGTGCACTGCAACGAAGAGTAGCCCCCGCTCACCGCAACCAGAGAAAGCCCGTGCACAGCAACAAAGACCCAACGCAGACAAAAAAAAAAAAAAAAAATTAACCATTTTAAAGTGTATACTTTGGTGGTATTTAGTACATTCACAATGTTGAACAACCACCACCTCTATCTAGTTCCATCATTTCATCCATTTCATCCATAGTTTCACCCATACTAACCCCCATAACCATAAGCATCAATCCCTATTCTCCCTTCCTCCCAGCACCTATAACCACTAATTTGCTTTCTATTGTTACAGATTACCTATATAGCTCATATAAATGGAACCAAACAATATGTAGCCTTTTATGTCCAGCTTCTTTCACTTAGCGTCATGTTTTCAAGGTTCATTCACAATGTAGTGTGTATCAGTACTCCATTCCTTTTTATAGCCAATAGTCCATTGCATGGATACACCACATTTTCTTCATCTTCATTGATGGACATTTGGGTTGTTTCCACCAGGCATGACTTTTTAAGAAGTCATGTTATATTTTTGTGCCCCAGCTCTGTAGCCCTGAAACCACCTGTCCCTCTTTCTTCAGTGACACACCCTTGAGTGCAGGCACCTGCCCAGAGGTCTGTCCGCATGGGCCACTCTGGCCCCAACGCTAAATGGTACAGTCTCCAGGCCTGGCCCCTTTCAGATCCTCACCTGACTTCTCTTGGCTTATTGTTCACCCACTGTGCTCCACCTTTCTCCACACCTAGGAGATGACAAGTATGGGCGGAAGATCATTGTGTTTAGTGCCTGCCGAATGCCCCCGAGCCACCAGCTGGACCATAGCAAGCTCCTGGGGTGAGTACCCATGGGGAAGTGATGGAACCCATGCTCAGATCCCCACTATGGCCTGGAGCCATTTTCCTTACTGTCCCTTCCTGCCCCGGGGGTACCAAGCCACCTCCCTTGAGGCCTCCCCTCTTCTGCTGAGGGATATTGGGAGCACTGGGATAGGTGTCAGATCTGGTTTCTAGTCCTGGAAACCATCTGTGTGACCTTGGAAAGTGTGTTCATCTCTTTAAGCCTCTTTCTCTTCACTCTTCTTGGGGAATAATAATACAGCCCTTGTTCCTCATAGGAGTGAGATACTGCATTTGAAAATGCTTTGAAAAGTAAAATACCATCCAAATGTGAGGACTGATTATGATAACGATATGGTGCGCTTCTGAGGCAGTTGCAGTTGTTCATCATTTACATGAATAATTAGTGTTATTTTGTGCCAAATCTGGTGCCAACAACTTCTGTACCTATCCAGGTTCTAATAGCTAAATACAGGTAATAGCTCTGTTTGGTCTAGAAATCTCCTGATGCAAGTCCGAAGGCTGATTGAAAGCAGGAGTTTGACAGACTGTGTTCTGATAAGTGTTCATCGTTGAGCCACCACTAGGCCAGTGCTGGGCCCACAGCAGGTGCGGGATCCCTGGAGGCAGAGCCATAACTGACTTCCTCCTGAGGCTCCTCAGTGTGTGTACAGTTTCCATCTTGCACTCCTTTCCTGACACTTTAAAGCACTCCCTGCAATTGCAAATGTCTGCCCCACCCCTTACCAGCTCTTTGGGATCCTGAATGGTTGTGTGTGTGGAGGGGCTGGTGTGGGGTTGGGGACAGTCCGGGGCTGCAGCAACAGAAGGTGAGGGCCTGACTGCAGAACCTCTGCAGTCCTGTGAGCCAGGGCCAGGCCCGAGTCTCTCCAGCTTTGTGTGAAGGCTTTCTCTCTGGTCTCCTGAGCCCTCCTCCCACTGCTCCTCACCGTGCAGGCAGGCAGAGCCTTCTCCAGACCCATCACGTGGCCCAGCCAGGAACAGGCCAAGAAGCCCAGCCTGAGGGTGGCTGAGTCACCTGTCCTCCTTTCTGGGTTTATTGTCACAGCATCTGACAAGGCAGGTGACAGACTCCTGGCCAGATTACGGGCTGAGTGGGAGGAGGTCAGAGGAGGTGGATGGGAAAGCCCCCAGCTTTCAGGAGAGAGTGTGCTGAGCGAGGCTGCCCCCACTCTGGGGCTTCATCTGCCTTCGGGAAGCCCTCTGTCACCCATCCTGTCCATCCTCCACTCCTTCCCAGCGGGATTTCCCCGCCATCACCTGCCCGGGCAGGGAGGCGCTTTCATCAGGCATCAGTCCTGTCATCTTGTTTTCACTCAGACTTGGCTTTTCCCAGCTGTCCAGCCAGATCTGGGGGGTTGAAATAGAAAGTGCCTGAAGCTTGGATGCAGAAGACCAGTTAAACTTCAACTCTGCCTCTTACTAGCTTGGGGTCAGGTCTCTCCTGAGCCCTGTGAAATGTCATTGTATTCATTTGTAAAGTATCACAGATTTCAAGAATGTAGAAAAATGTAGATAGCTATTAAGAAAAAACACAGACAGCAATAAACAAAGTCGCCCATAAACCCACCACCCAGAGAGAAAACCACTGTTAACATTTTAGTGTATTCACTTCCCATTTTTTTCTATAACATATACAGAACTCTATAGTCAGTTTTGTATCTTACATAATGTTTTTATCTTCTGAGCATTAAACATTCTTCAAGGATATCCTTTCAAAAAATTTTGACATATGTGTATCCAGAAAAGTGAACACATTATGTATACTACTTGATGAATTTTCAAAAACGAAATACACCCATGTCATCCACACCTACAAACTTCCCTTTGCTCTTCCAGGCAGTACCCCAAAGGGTAACCACTGTTCTCACATCCAACTTCACAGATTGGTTCTGTCTGCAGAAACATCCCGTGAGGTATTCTATTTATAGATCTCCTGTGATTTATTTAACCAATATTCTGTTCTTGGACACTTACTTTGCTGCTCATTTTTTCCCCCCATTATAAAACAGGCTATAATGAACAGCCTTTTACAAAAACATTTCTGTTCATCTCTGATTAGTTCCTTGGGATAAATTCCTGGACATATTTTTATCAGGTCAGAGTATGAACATTTTATAGCTTCTGATAAACATCACTTTATTGACCTCCAAAAGGTCATAACATTCATCAAAGGATGAGTGTATTTTCACTACAACTTTTGCTATTTTATTTATTTATTTATTTTTATTTATTTTTTGTGTGGCATGTGGGATTTTAGTTCCCCAACCGGGGATCGAACCCATGCCCCCTGCAGTGGAAGCGCAGTCTTAACTGCTGGACCACCAGGGAAGTCCCTAACTTTTGCTATTTTATAGTTGCAAAATGCCATCCTTTTATGTGACAGCTCTTTTCAAACTGCAAAGTGCTCAATGTGTGTAAGGGGTAAATTACTGTATAGTGATAATGATGGGAATCAAGATAATAAAGCCAGCATAAGACACCTCACATGTCCGTGAGTGCTGGCACCCATGGACCAATGTTTAGGTTAGCCTCTCTGGGATAGGTCAGGTTGTGTCTGGGCACTTAGTCACATCCTTGGGCACTTCCCAAGGCTCCTTCCTGGGCTTCCCTGGTGGCTCAGTGGTTAAGAATCCGCCTGCCAGTGCAGGGGGCACGGGTTGGAGCCCTGGTCCAGGAAGATCCCACATGCCGTGGAGCAACTAAGCCTGTGCGCCACAACTACTGAGCCTGCACTCTAGAGCCCGCGAGCCACAACTACTGAGCCCACGTGCCACAACTGCTGAAGCCCATGAGCCACAACTACTGAGCCCGTGAGCCACAACTACTGAAGCCTGCGCACCTAGAGCCCGTGCTCCGCAATAAGAAAAGCCACCGCAATGAGAAGCCCGCACACCGCAACGAAGAGTAGCCTCCACTCACCGCAACTAGAGAAAGCCAGCGCACAAAAATGAAGACCCAACGCAGCCAAAAATAAATTAACTAATTAAATAAATTTAAACAAAAGCTGTCAGATTTCTAATTAATAACTGTAAGCTTTCCAAATCATTAAAAAAAATAAAAAGGCTCCTTCCCTCCTTTCCCTCCTCCCCTTGGAAGCCCTTAGCATTCCTGCATGCCCAGCCTCCCAGCCTGGAGTGGTGTTCCTGCTGGGGCCTGGGAGCTGTTGGCCAACCAGAAAGAGGGTTTTCCACTGGGCTCCTCTCCCTTTCTGGAATTCATGTTCACTCAATTCATATTTCTCTACCTCAGGTGGGCCCAACACCCGTATGTGTGTTTGTGTTGGATGGTAGGTATTGTGTTGTGAGCATAGGGAACTTGAGGTGTGGGTCTTTGGTCCACAGAACGTCCAGTGACTGGAGCTGGGGAGGGGACCCTCTGACCACCCTGATCCCCTTTTGTGGGCACAGTGTTCTACAGACAGCGCTGGGAGTGTAAAAGGCAGAGCTGTCCCATGATCAACAAGGTGAAACTTGGAGTTAGTTCACCTCCAGTCTCCACCACAAGCTGTGTGACCTCAGAGAAGCACTTGACCTCTCTGAGCCTCACTGCCCTCGCTTGTAAGAAGGGGATAGTATTGGCCTCCATTATAATGAGGAAGGCACGAGATATTGCATACAAAGTGCTTGGTAGACACTAAGAGCTTAATACTGGTAAATGGTGACTGTCATCATTACTTTTGACTCAGGGCAATCCTGTGAGTGAAATGTTATTCCCATTTTTACTGCAGGTATGTGAGATGGCTCCAGTTAGAGTCCTGGTCTCCTGACCCCTAGTCAGTGCTCAAACCTGAGAGCTGCTGTTGTTATTATTCCTCCATGCAGCCCAGCCACTACCTCGTTCCTCCTCCACCCCAACATGGTGACTGATTATGCAGCCAGAACAGACAGGGCAGGAGAGGGGCTGGCGGAGGCAGGAGGAGGGGATTCCTGGGGCACTGGTTCTGTCTTAATGGGGCCCCACTTGCATACAGGGCAGGCCTGAGTGGGGCTCATCTCTTACAGATACCTGAAGCACACCCTGGACCAGTATGTGGAGAGCGACTACACGCTGCTCTACCTGCACCATGGCCTGACCAGCGACAACAAGCCCTCCCTCAGCTGGCTCCGGGACGCCTACCGGGAGTTTGACCGCAAGTGGGTTAGGGCCTCGGAGGAGCTCCAGGGCCCGGGGGCCAGCAGCTCTGCCGGGTTCTGGGCTGCCCTCTGCTTGGGCAGGAACGTATTCCATGCCAGGGGAGGCGGGTTCCCCCCTACCTGGGTAAACTAAACACAAAGAGTCTCAAGTTGGAATGGCCTGGGCTTAAATCCCAGTTTCTCTTCTTACTCGCTCTGTGACCTTTCATCTTACTTAACCTCTCTGAGCCCGTTTCCTAATCTGTAAAATAGGGCAACAATGGTACTTACCTCGAAGGCTTACTATGAGTCATCAATTCAGTAACTGTACATTAAGAGCTTAGCTCTGTGCCTCTCCTACCATGCCCACTCCTGAGTTCCCCGTTCTGCCTCTGCAGGTACAAGAAGAATATCAAGGCTCTGTACATCGTGCACCCCACCATGTTCATCAAGACCCTGCTCATCCTCTTCAAGCCCATCATTAGGTGAGTGGGCCCAGGGCGGGGCACTCGTCTCTTGTGCTTCCCCTTGAACTGCGAAGCAGATACCTGAGGAAGCCAAGCATCCTGGGGACCGAGCACTTTGGGGCTAGGCATCAGTCTGATCTGGGTGGGCTGCTGAGGAGAAAGCGGAGGCCTGCTGAAGTGGGCCTACCCTGGACCCAATACCCTTTCTTCCATCGGCAGCTTCAAGTTTGGGCAGAAGATCTTCTATGTGAATTACCTGAGTGAGCTGAGCGAGCATGTGAAGCTGGAGCAACTGGGGATCCCTCGCCAAGTGCTCAAGTGAGACCGGGCTGGGAGCTGTGTGTGCCCACCGAGCACACTGTCCACATATATCATGTTTGTGGGGGTAGGATGTGCCGGCCAAGGGGAGAAGCAGCCTTGACAGCACCAGGATACACAGAGGAAGCAGATGTGATGAGTAAGGGGCAGCACATGGGGTCAGAGAGAGCAAGTCCAGATCCCATATCTGTCACTGAAAAGCTCTGTAACTGAATCTCTTTAAAGTCTTCAATTCTGTGTAAAGCTGGGTTGGTGGGAGGACTGAATGAGGTAATCCATGTAAGACAGCACAGTAAGTGCCTGACAAACAAGAGTTGCCATAGTGACTGCAGAGCCAGGTAGGGGCCCTGACCTCTCCCCGCTGCTTCCCCAGGTATGATGACTTCCTCAAATCCACCCAGAAGAGCCCTGCGACAGCCCCCAAGCCCATGCCACCACGGCCCCCTCTGCCCAACCAGCAGTTCGGGGTCTCCTTGCAGCAGTGAGTATGCGAAAGGTGGGCGGGGCTGGCACCTGGGGACCAGGAGGACTGCAGACCCGTCACTGCGTTGTGCCCACAGCCTCCGGGAGAAGAACCCAGGGCAGGAGCCCATTCCGCTCGTGCTGCGGGAGACTGTTGCCTACCTACAGGCCCACGGTGAGTGCCAGGGAGCCCTCTCCCCTTGGGAAGCTGCTGGGCAGGGCTGGGCAAGGTCCCACGTGCGCCAGCACCCACCATGACCCTGACCGGGACCCCAAGACACAGAATGGGTGGAGAGTCCACATGTTGCCCCAGAGCTCTGAGACTCACCAGGCCCCACTGTTTCCCAGCTCTCACCACTGAGGGGATTTTCCGGAGGTCGGCCAACACCCAAGTTGTACGGGAAGTGCAACAGAAGTACAACATGGGTGAGTGGCCCCAGGGATGTGTCGAAGCCCAGAGGGCCAGTACAGATCGTGCACGCGCACACACACGTGTGTGTATGTGTGTGTGTGTGTGTGTGTTTTCTGTGGCATTTGGTATAATTACATGGGTCTCACTCCTGCCTGGTTGTCCCAGGCCTACTTTCTCATAGGTCAGGCTTCTGGAGCCTGGGTTCAGGGTCATTCAGAGGCGAGGAATAACTGTGGTGTGTGCTCGAGGGCCCTACTCCCCAGATGGCCTGACCCTGTGCCCCCTGTCCCAGTGGGAGGAGGAGGAGGCTTGTGGCCAAGGGTGAAGTCAGGCTGTGGAGCCTGCTTGGCCTCTGGATTGGCTGCTGGTCTCCAGGCTCCTCCCCCCCCCCCCCCCCCCCCCCGCCGGGCTTCCTTTTCTCGCCTATGTGTCCAGCTGCTCACTCCTCCTGGGCTCTGGGATGAACTTGCCAGGACTGGAAAGGCACAGGAAGGGCACGTTTTTCTCCCCCCCCCCCCCCCCCCAGGGCTGCCTGTGGACTTCGACCAGTACAATGAGTTGCACCTGCCAGCAGTCATTCTCAAGACCTTCCTCCGGGAGCTTCCTGAGCCCCTGCTCACCTTTGACCTCTACTCCCACGTTGTGGGCTTCCTCAGTGAGTGCCCCTCTCCCCCTTCTCCAGCTTCTGCAGGGTGGGGTTGCAGCTGGACTCAGAGCAGGCAGGTTTGGCCTGTCCTTCAAGGAAAGTCTGGTTGGGTCTTCCCCCTAGTCTCATGACAGGGCTTCCCGAACCAGTCCAGCCATGGGCCCCTGTGACCTGGGCCCCCCTTCCTCATAGACATTGATGAGAGCCAGAGAGTGGAGGCCACGCTGCAGGCCTTCCAGATGCTGCCCGAGGAGAACTACCTGGTGCTGCGTTTCCTCACTGCCTTCCTGGTGCAGGTGAGACCTCGGCCTGGGCCTCTACCACTTACCTGGAGGAGAGAGGGAGGAGGAGTTGCCATGGCTGCTGCTCCTGGGCATGGTTGCCAGGCCTGGGAGGTGGCGTCTGTGGCTTCCTGCTGCAGCCCCCTGATTCCTTCCACAGATTTCTGCCCTCTGTGACCAGAACAAGATGACCAACACTAACCTGGCTGTTGTCTTCGGCCCTAACCTGCTGTGGGCCAAGGATGCTGCCATCACCCTCAAGGCCATTAATCCCATCAATACCTTCACCAAGTTCCTCCTGGATCATCAAGGGGAGCTGTTTCAGCCCTGACTCCAAGGGGCTCTGAGCCCAGCCCCTGCCCCACCCGCCCCCTTCTCTGATAGCCCCGGTTTGGACTCTTCCGTTTGGCTTCAGCCTTACGGGAGCCCAGGACTCCTGCCCAGAAAGGGGCTGTGAGCCCCCTGGAGACAGAAGCTGGAGCCAGTCAACTGGACAGCTCCTCCTCCCCTCCTGTCCAGCCCACCTCACTGGCCCCGGAGGCCTCGCTGTAACCACAAGACGTTTTTCTTCGCCTTATACTTCTCACTGCCTCTTTGGATCCCTGGCTCCTGCCAGGCTCTGCAGAGCTGGCCTTGGCTCTTCAGGCAGGAGGACTGGCCCCAGCAACCGCTTCCTTACCTGCTTTCTCCTGCCTCTTCCCCTGGCAACTGGAGATGCCAAAATCACTGCCAGCTGTGCTGGTAGCTGGGGCTGGTCCTCCCCTTCCCGACTGCTGGGGAATGAAAGGCTGAGCTGGCCTGGGCTGGCCCTGCTGAGACTTCTCCCTGTCTGGGTGAAGGCCTGGTTGCAAGCACCCTGTTCCTGTCCTTCCCTCTGGTGGCTCAGCCTCTGGTATTTACATAGTTAACAAATAACAGCCTGGAGTCCTATGTCTGCCTTCTCTTCCACACATCCTGGGTCAGCCTTTCCCAAGTGGTACTGCCCCCAGGGTGTCTTAGCCCCCTGGTTCTGCCAGGACTGGCAGCTTGGATGACAGGGCTGAGTCCCAGCATCCATTCAAAATAGACACCCCACTCTCACCCCTGAGAGCCTCCTAGTGTCTGGTCAGACCACTGACAAGCAGTCCCCGCCCACTCCACCCCTCATGCCTTGCCTCCCCTCCCTTCCTACTTGGACAGATCATTAGGCACGTCTGTTGTGGAGTCACACCAGTCCCTGCTCTGGCCAGGGGTGACTCAGTGCCTCAGGATCTGGGGTGGCTCCTTCCTCCAGTTTGGGACTCCTGGAGGGGCTGGGTAGAGATTTTGCTAATTAGATTGGCCCCTGCCAGGTAAGTTCTAGCAACCTCCCCTTGGACCCTGATGATGATGGATATCCCTCTTTCCAGCTGTCCCTTCCTGGTGAACCACCTTCCTGCAGCCTTGGCCAGAGCCTGTACTGTGGCGGTCCTCACTGACCAGTCCTGCCCCATCTGCGAGCCGGGTGTGGCCTGGGCCTGACCTCACTGGGCTCTTTTCCCAGGACACTAGCATGTCAGGAGTCCCAAGGCCTGGTGTGGCTGCTGTCAGTCCCTGTGTCTCCAGGCCAGGCCCAGGATTCTGCTTTCTGCCTTCCTTCCTTTGTATCAGGTGTTGCTCAGAGCCCCATTTACTGGGGAGCCTCGTGGATCTATTTGGTCTCTCCCCTGTCCACCCCCAACTGGTCTTTACCTGGGGGTGGGGGGACTTGTACAGTGAATCAAGTGTTCACATTCACAATGACTTCCTTGGCACCAATCATGTATTTCACCTTTGCACTTTTTATATTTCAATAAAAATGGAGATGGAAAACTGCCCATCTGGCTGATAAGGAAGTGGGTATGGAGGCTCATAACTGGGTGGGAGGTGTGGTGTGGCTGCGGAAGAAGAGCAGATAGGGCTTCAGGAAGTCCCCTCCCCAGTCAGTCTGACCCCCTCCTCATCCTGCTCACTTGTGAGCCGGTATGAAGCCAGCTTTCTGACCATATTCCAGGCCTAGAAGTGTGAACAGTCACCTTCCTTTTTGCACCTATACATTCCAACTGGCCACCAAGTGCTATATCCTAAAACCAGGACCTCTCTCCCCCAAACAGAGCAGACTGTGGTGGGCCACAGCACAAGCTTTAGAGTGAGACCAGGGTTTGAATCCTAGTTCCATCACTCACAACCAGCTCTAACTGGTAATTGTCATGTAACTGGTCCCATGTCTGAGACTGTTGCTTCATTTCTCTGAAGATCAGACACACAGTCATCCCTATGTGTGGGGGACTGGTTCCAGCCACCCGACCCCGTGACACCAAAATCCAAGGATGCTCAAGTCCCTTCTATCAAGTGGTGTAGTATTTGCAATATAACCTACACACATCCTCTCTTTACATCATTTCTAGATTACTTTAATACCTAATACAATGTAAATGCCATGTAAATAGTTGCCAGCATGCAGCAAATTCAAGTTTTGCTTTTTGGAACTTCCTGGAATTTTTTTTTTCTAAATATTTTTCTATCCAAGGTTGGGGGAACTCTCCGGTGTGGAACCCACAGATGCGAGGGCCGACCGTAACGTATACACTACATAACAGAATGAGTGCCCAGTGGGAACCAAAATGATGGTCATTTCACAGAGGAATGAAGTGATAGTCCCAACCTTGTACAGCAGCCAGGGTTGGAACCCTCATCTTCCAGCCATTCCGGTCCTCCCCACCCGCCCCTCAGACTGAGAGTCTTGGCTGTTTCCACCTGCCACCTAGTCACGTGGAGGCTATGAAAGATCCAGCTTTCCTCTTTCGAGCAGTTTTGCTTTGCTTTAAAGGTTAATATGGTAAAATTTATGTTACATGTATTTCACTACAATTGAAAAACTAAAATGGTTTGTCACAGGGAGGGCAGGCCAGAATTCCACTTGGCACACTGGTCAAGTTCCAGCTGTCTGCTGCTTGCCTGCTGACTGCAATCAGGAGGCTATGATGGCCTCAGTCAGGCCTGTTCTTTTTTTCTCCTCATTGCTTGTTTGGGCTGGGGAAGCCGGGCCAAAGCTGCAGGATCAAGACAATGGTTATAAACACAGGCACTGAGCTCCAGGAAGCCAGTCCGCCTGCACAACTGTGACCTTCGTCCAGGTAGCTCAAACAGAAGGCACTGGCAGCCTGTCTCCCTGGCTCTGCTCAGCTCTAAGCTGGGTGACTATTTAGAACAGAAGGGCAGTGACCCAAGGAAATGACAAGACAGGGGAGCAGGAGATGGAGAGCTGTTTACTTGGGTTGGGCTCTTGTCAGGGCCTCTGCCAAGTGACTCAAAAGCCAGTTTACCCCTGCCTTGGCAACAGTGGGTCTCTGGGGGCAGTGTAGTGACATGGCTTAAAGGGGTAGGATACCATCAGACAAGGGGCAATTGAACACTTTGCTTTTGGGGGACCCCTAACTGAAGGTGAGGACTCCAAGGACAGTCTTCCCACCATTTCTGACCCAGGAGTTGGATGCGTGGTCAGGTATCATGGTCAGCGTCACATGCAGTTCACTAACAAGCAAGGGCTCCCAGGGCCCAAAGCGGCAGCAGTGGGTGGGCCCATTTTTTTCAGCCCCAGGTTTGAGTTGAATTTAGAATTTTCTAACTACTCCTCTTCTGCCCTGGGGCCTGGCTTCTGGCCTGAAGGGCGTGGGAGGCAACCAAGACAGCACTTGCTTGGGTTTGTCAGTCTCTGGTCTCTAGAACCACCTCTTCCTCTGGGACACCAACTCTACCTTCCGCTCCCTCCCGCCACTGCAGGCGAAATAGGAGGAAAGAGCTGTTTGTCAGATCAGGGCAGCTAAACATGCATGGGACCTGGACTGCTGCTTACTTCACTCAGCCCCTTCCCTTCTGTCTGGTTTGCTCAGCCACAACCCCTCACACCAGATCAGCAAATATCCCAGCAGTCTGGGGAGTCCCCCGCCCCCTGCTTGGCCTCTGCTGGAAACATGGCAGGGACCTGTCAGTTGTCTTTCCCTCTGACCCAAAGGCTGTTGCCCAGGGTGAGTGGTGAGCTGTGCTGGGTAGGAAAGATAGAGAGCTGAAGATAACAGCCTACCAGTTCTGAGGATTTTACTATGGGCATTCCTCACATGCACGTCTACTTCATACACATTATCTCACTGAATACTCTCACACAACCCTTGAAATGGAAACATTACAGCCAAGGAAAATGAGGCTCTAAGAGGTTTCCTGGGACTTCCCTGGTAGTCCAGTGGTTAAGACTCCGTGCTCCCAATGCAGGGGGCCTGGGTTTGATCCCTGGTCAGTGAGCTAAGATCCCACGTGCTGCACAGTGCTGCCAGGAAAAAAAAAAAAAAAAATCCCGACCAGCCCAAGGCCCCAGGACTCGAAACAGCCTGAATGGCTCTGAAACCTTGCTGTGCCTCACATGGCACCGCTCCTCCCTCCACGGAGCCTGTTGGTGACCCGGGGCTGCCCAGAAGTGGGAGGAAGTGGGCTAGGTTTTTCGACAGCTTGCAGGACAGGAGGCTATAAAGTACAGAAAAAGTTTATTGGAAATCCCTTGAATACATTTTAAAGTATAGCTCAATATTTCCAAATAAAGTAGGCTGGAGGAGCGGGAGGGGCTCTCCCACCTGGAGACACGACTGGTCCCAGCCCTGTCCCGGGGGTGCTGTGCGGGTCCGTCGAGGGCTCATACCTTTCACTGTACAGGGCTGAGGGACAGGGGCCAGCCTTGACAGTTGCTCTGCTCCTCCCAGGCTCAGCTCAAAGTCAGGGCTCAGCCTCCCTGGCCTCTCACTGATGGGGTCCTGAAGAGAGGCTGCTGCCTGCAGAGGCCAACAATTAGGAGTCAAAGAGGCAAATGGCTAACAGGCCTTTCCATGCTTGGCCTTGGAAGAGGGCAGCGGCTGACATATTGGGATGAGGTGGGGGAGTGGGGGGCAATCAGTAACTTACCAGGGCCTTTGCCCGTCTCAGTGCTGGGGCCTGGGGGGTAAGCCTGGATTGGTTTAGCAGGCCACAGGTGTGCTCTGGCCCAGTGACAGGATGGCCAGCTGGACGCCACTATTGGAAACACTTTTTTTTTTAAATTTAATTAATTAATTTATTTTTGGCTGCGTTGGGTCTTCGTTGTTGTGCGTGGGCTATCTCTAGTTGCAGCGAGCGGGGGCTACTCTTCGTTGCGGTGCACGGGCTTCTCATTGCGGTGGCTTCTCTTGTTGCAGAGCACGGGCCCTAGGTGCACGGGCTTCAGTAGTTGTGGCTCGCGGGCCCTTGAGCACAGGCTCAGTAGTTGTGGCGCACGGGCTTAGCTGCTCTGCAGCATGTGGGATGTTCCCAGACCAGGGCTCGAACCCGTGTCCCCTGCATTGGCAGGCGGATTCTTAACCACTGCGCCACCAGGGAAGCCCTGGAAACACTTTTTTAGGCAGGAGAATGTGTGAACAGGGGCAGGGCTCAGCCCAACTGAGGCAGCATCAGAGCTGACCCCAGCCCTGAGATCAGCTTTGTAGGTGAAAACAATGCCACGTGCACTTGCTAACAAGCAATTGAGGGCCACCTGCTCTGCTGCAGAACAGCTGCTGCCAGTGTATACCCCAGGTGGGCCAGAGGAGTGGGGTTGGGCCTATCAGTTAGGCGGGGAGGAACAGATGGTCAGTGGGTGAGGCTGGGCCCTTGACTTAACTCAAGTAACAACACCTGAATGCCCAGCTTTGGTTTCTCAACAAGGAACCAATCCAACTAATAAACCTCAGGGCAGTATACAGACCCTGGGGTTAAAGAAAGGTGGTGGCTAGGCCTAGAAGGAAAAGGCCCATAACCCAGCCCTGAGAATCAGGAACAAATGCCCCAGGAGGAGGGGCCTCTCTGGCCTTCCCCAGGGCCACAGGGCCCCTCGGGCACTACACGTGCCACAACTCTGGGGAGTCATCAAATTTCGCACCCAAGACTTCCTGGGCTGCCAGAACAGAGTCAGTCTCTCTAGGGAAGCTGGGAGAGTCAAAGTTCTCACCAGGAATATGTACATGTCCAAGGCAGAGTGTGATGTCAGTTCAAATGCAGCAATTCTGGGAGGTTCTGCTGCCCTCAGCCAGCCCTATTCTTGGATCCCACCTTATACACATGGGAAGGGAAATCCTCAGGGCAGCAACCTAAATCCAAGGAACCTCTACAGGAGGAGGCGCTGCCCCAGGAAGAGGCCCTCCAACCTTCCCCAAGTGAAAACGTCTAACCTCAAACATGTTTTCTCTACAAAATATCTGATTTCTCTGAAAGTAATAAATATTTACTGGGTTCTATAACCAAGGAGCAATGACAGGGGAAGGGAGAGGAAAGAGAAGAACCTTTGCTGTGACTCCAATGACAGAATCCTAGAGAGGGAGGCTTCTGTTTCTATGTAGCTGAGCACAGGCAGCCGCCAGGGCTGCTCGAATGGGCTGGCACAGCCTTCAAGGGTGGGAATGGCTGACTTTAGGGTTCTCATCACCTTGGGCAGGAAGCCTGCCATACTACCTGTATTTTTGGCACGGGGCAGAGAGAAGGAGAGAGAGAGGGGAAGAAGATACCAGAACTAACGGAGAAGGACCCTGAAGGAGAGCTTCCTTCCTTCCTCCTCCTAGCACTGTCTCCTTCCTCTTTCTGCCTCCACACCAGTCTCTGGGCCACCAGCTGGAATGTCGAATGGTGGATGGCAACGGCAGGCAGGCGAGGGGCCAGCTGCTGGGCAAACCCGGGGCAGGGGGCCGGTAGAGGAGCGGGATGACAGCCTTTGTGAAGCAGCTGCTGAGGGCGGTATAAGCAGAGGGCCCTGCAGAGGGAGGTCAGAGGGTGAGTCCTCTCAAATGCTATCACTGGCCTTCACTGCTGCTGTGAGTGTCCAGGAGTGCAAGAGCAGGGACTTCTGGGTCCCCATGGGGGAACCAGCCTCCCCTCCACCTGGCTTGAAGCGGGACAAGGGATGGGAGCAGCTGACGAGTGGGAGGCTCTCTGTCTCCTGGGACCACAAAAAGGGGATGCTGCTGGTACTCGAGGACACCAACTTTTACTGCAGGGTTTCTACAAAGGCATCAAATTCTCGGACGTTCTTCTCGTGCACAGCCAGCTTCTCTGGTAGTGAGTCCTGTACCGGGAGGGGAGAGAAAAGCTGCTTATTCAGGTAGGGCCTTGAAGCCGGCTGTCACCCTGGGCTGAAGGGAGCACGGCAAAGAGTCTGGCTCAGCAGTGCTGGGCTGGAGAGCAAAGTGCGGAGCAACTGAGCAGGCACTGGCCAGTGGGCCTTTGCCCAGCAGGGGTTAGTGGGGCTGGGGAGGTGGACAGAACAGCCTAGGGAATCTGAGCCGGCCACACATATAATGAGATGGAAAAGGACCATATGCCAACAACGGGATGACACAGAGAAATTCAACGTGAAGTATCTTTGGCACAGATGAGACTGACGTTAGAATAACACAGTAGGTTTAGAGCCCTACAAATTCAGAACGTGTACAAATGATTTCTTCACAGCCTGCGCTGGGCAGGCATCAGAATCCCCTGGGGGCACATGAACAAGGCAGTCCCAGCCATACTCCCAAGAGATGCTGACCCGGCAGGTCTACAGTGAGGCCTAGGAATCTGTATCTTTACATCAGCTGAGAAGGGGATGGGTTAGATGGGGTTGAGAGAGAACAATGAAAGCAAAAAAACAGAACCATGAGGAGTTAAGTTGAACTGCCCTCAGGTATCAACCATTAATTAAAATTTGGTCCTAATCAGGTGGTCTGTCTCCACTGATGAATTTGCATTTGAAGAGTTCAGCCATCACAGAAGACTTCCTGACAGGCACGAGATACTTGGTGCCACAGGACTTACAAAGCAGCCCAGACAGACCAGATGCCGGGGCAGGTTTGGGAGGCTGGGGCAACCAGCCAGCACTGGCTGCAGCCTCACATTGAGCCTTTGGACTCCGGTTCCTTCCAAGCAAACTTCAAATGAGAGGCCAGGGAGCCAATGGTTAAAAGCCTAAAATCAGAAGCCAGACTCTTAGGGGTCAAAGCTTGTTTTGCCAGCTCAGTGTAACCACCATCAAGTTATTTGCTCCCAGTGTCGTTTTTCTCATCTGTAAACTGGGATAATAAGAAAACCTACCTCTTAGGGTCGTTGAAGATTCATGTAAAGCACTTAAAAAATGCTTGGCACCTAGAAAGCTTCAATAAATGTTAATAATAATGACATTATTGCTGTATTATTATTACTGAGCATGCTTTTCTGATTAAAGCAAATCAAGGGCAGCTAAACCTAGATTCCTATTCCTAGAGCCATTCCTCTGATTTCGACACAGGAGGTGATATTCCCACCTCAGGAAGAGGGACCCTGACATCTTGTGGCATGGGGCACCCTGAGTTTGCGGCTGTGCAGGGCACTCCTCTGCCCTTCAGAGACAGGAAACAGGAAACACCCTAAGCGGAGATGTGGTCATTACAGTCAGTATCAGGACATCTGGTTGAACACGAGAACCAGGGAACGAGCTCTCCGAGGAAAGGGCAAGAACACCAATGCTGGGGACCTTCTGTTTCTTCTGCCCTGTACCATTGTCATCTGCCTGGCAAGCTTAACAGCTGATGGCAAGACCTGTTGGAGCAGCCTGGCTTAGTGGCATCAGCAAGTAGAAGACATCAGGCACCAAAAAGAGAAGTGTGTGAGAAATGCTGTGACAAGAGTGCCGAGAAAAGGAGGAAATGAGCGCAAGCAAATTTGAGATAATGACCGCCAGGCACAATGCAAATCTCAAGTGTGATTCCAGGAAGATAATGGTCTAAAAGTCCCCGTCCTGTTACAGGGAAGATGGGAGGTGTGGGCGTGGAGGAGTAACAGGAAGAAATTTCCAGGCCTGTGGAGCAGGAA